TCTTCTTCTTCTTCTTCTTCTTCTTCTTCTTCTTCTTCTTCTTCTTCCTCTAAGTTCAATAGTTCTATGGCTTATCCACATCATAGAGTATAAACACTTCCTACAGCACTCCACTGTATGGATGGACCATATTTTATTTACCTGTTCATTAGCTGATGGACACTTTTTGTTGTTATTTCTTTATTTGTTTTAGAGACAGGGTCTCTCTCTACATGGTCCTGGATGTTCTAGGGCCTGCTATGTAGACCAGGCTGGCCTCAAACTCCCAGAGATCCTCTTGCCTCTATAGCCTAGTGCTGGGACTAAAGGCATGCACCACCACACCCTGGTCATTTGGGGCATGTTGAATAGTGCTGCTGCAGTGAGTGTTTATGTACAACTACTCGTGTGAGCAGCTGTTTGCAGTTCCGTAAGGCACGCACCCAGGAACTCTACGTCACGATAAAACTGTGTTTAGTGGGGCTAGAGAGATGGCTCAGAGGTTAAGAGCACAGACTGTTCTTCCAAAGGACCCAGGTTCAATTCCTAGCACCCACTTGGCAGCTCACAACTGTCTGTAATTGCAAGATCTGACACCCTCACACAGACAGGCAGACAGACATGCAGGCAAAACACCAATGTATATAAAATAAAAATAAATAATTTTAAAAAACTGTGTTTGGCTAGGACTGTTTGCGTGTTTCTGTGATCTCACTTGACCTGTGCTGTATGCTGCTGACCTGCTTGATAATTCCTTTCTTGGGGCAGTGAAGAAGAGGTTTGAAGGGGAGGAGAATAGTAGAAGACTGTACGGTGTGAAGTTAGAGGAGGAGAACAGTGGGAGTTAAAGGTTTGAGCAAGGAGGGCTGGGGACTAAGAGGAGAGGAAAGAGTGAGGGCGGGTTAACAAAAGCTAGCACGTATGAAAACTCCTGTACAGGCACCTGCTACTTTGTAGGCAGATTGAAAAATTCATTTTTTCTAAAAAAAAAAAAAAGGAGTTTGGACACTGATACCCTGCTTGGACTATGCTTCCCCTACAAGGCCCAGCTTGCTCAATGAAAATCTCTGTACCGGGTGTGGGATACCTTCCTTTAAGTTACTGGTCAGGGAGGTGCTCCAGAAACAACACTGGCTATTGCTACTGCTCTTGGTTACCCCCAGGAATTAGAAGGTAAGATCCTTTGTCAAAGACATCACACACCATGATTTCAGGGCAGAGAAATCTAGCTGGAAGTGCCCTGGCAGCCCCCCCTGCTGGCCCGCTTTCTAGGGCGAGCAAGTGCTGTTCAGGCTTCTGGGAAAGAGTGGGAGCCTCGCAGCCAACCCCGCATGCTATAATGTAGCTCTCCAGGCAAGATGGGCTCACTGCTGCAGCGGTGGCACCTAGGTCCCAGGGGAAACCAATGGCTTTTGGATCAGCTTCAAGGCCTGCCCCACAGGAAGGAATTAAGATCTGGTAGTGTAAATAGACCAATAGACCAAGGCTCTGTGGGTCACAAGACTCACAGGGGAACCTACTTCTATTGCATTGCTAAACAATGTGCTATCAAACTGCCTTCTAAATGTTTGTTTGGACCTATGGATTAGTTCTGTTCTCAACCGTGGCCGGAGAGGCTTCTTTCTGCAATGGCCAAAGTCTCATGGCTGGTCAAGGTTCGGGGCCCTAAGTGGGACATCTTTATCAATCTCAACTCAGCAAGGCTCAAGGAATATCTTGTAAGAGGGGAAGAAAGAAAGAAGCAGGGGCTGGGGAGGAGTGCTGTGAAACGCTGTCCTCAGGGTATGACATGAGAGCTGGAGAGCAGGTAAAAGCAGCTGTTGCTAAAGACCAAGAGTCGATTCCCAGCACCCACCTGGAAGACCATCGTCTCCTCGGGCGCTAGACATGCCGTGGCGCACAGACAGGCATGAAGTCAAAATTATCCATACACATAAAACGATAGAAGTAAGTCTGAACTGTTTAGATACGTGGGGTGACGGCCATTGCACTCATACACTCCATCTCTGCTCACCTGGGCAAGGCGGAGTCAAGTTCCAACAGGGACCACTAACTGGACTTAGTGGATTATTAACAAAGAAAGGAAGGAGGAGCGTGGTGACATACGTCTGTAATCCTAGAGCTCGGGAGGCAGAGGCAGGCGGATCTCTGAGTTTGAGGTCAGTGTGGAACTACCGGGTTAGTTCCAGGACAGCCAGGACTACACAGAGAGACCCTCTCTTGACAAGCCAAGACCAATAAATAAATAACTGCAGAGGGAGAGCATGTGATACCCAGAGGAAGTGGATGGAAAATCTGGGGGTTCCTGACAGGAGCAGGAGGGAGGAGTTGGGGGGATCTCTGAGGGGAGGAAGGGTGAGGGTGTAAGATGCATTGTTTGCATGCATAAAATTGTCAAATAATAAACATTTTCTACTTAAAAAAATTTCTTTCTGAAATTTGAAATAGAATCCAAGGTGTCAAAAAAAAAATCCCACCTTTTAGACCTATTAAATATAGACAAATAAATATTTGCCTCATTACCTTAAAAATTAAATGAGGTTTAATTATTTGCTTCTGATTTAATATGCTAATTTCCAATGAGATCAAGATAAATACCATAATTAAATCAAAATGTTTAAATACATGCTCATTGTTTCCTAAATAGATGCAATATGACTATGCTATAGGACATCTGTATTTAAAATGCGATGTGTTTTCATCCACACTGAGACAACTCTGCCTCAACTTACCCAGTAATAATAGATGGCCTGCGTCTTGCTGTTGCTCACCATTTCGTTATTGTTCTCTGGGTTGAAGATGAGGTAGGTCTGAAGCATAAGGCATGAAAATGTGTTAGGAGAAAACAAACTCGTTTCTCACCGCTTCAGCTGGGTGTTACAATGAAAAAATAATTTTAATTAAAATAAATGACTGAAGAAAGGCAAAAAGGATGGACAACAGAAGGAGAAAAGAGAGAACAAGTCAGGAGCCTGACACAAAGGACCTCTGAAAGGCTCTGCCCTGCAGACTATCAATGCAGATGCTGAGACTTATGGCCAACCTTTGGGCAGAGTTCAGGGAATCTTACAAAAGAAGTGGGAAACAGTAAGATCTGGAGAGGACAGGAGCTCCACAAGGAGAGCAACAGATCCAAAAAATCTAAGCACAAGGGTCTTTCATGAGACTGATACTCCAACCAAGGACCATGCATGGAGATAACCTAGAACCCTTGCAGAGATGTAGCCCATGGCAGTTCAGTGTCCAAGTGGGTTCCATAATAATGAGAACAGGGACTGTCTCTGACATGAACTGATTGACCTGCTCTTTGATCACCTCTCCCTGAGGAGGGAGCAGCATTACCAGGCCACAGAAGAAGACAGTGCAGCCAGTCCTGATGAGACCTAATAGACTAGGATCAGAAGGAAGGAAAAGAAGTCCTCCACTATCAGTCGATTTGGGGAGGGGCATGCACGCAGAGGGGGAGGAAGGGAGGAATTGGGATGGGAGGAGGGAGAGAACCACAGGGGGTATACAAAGTGAATAAAGTGTAATTAATAAATACTTTTTTAAAATGAAAAATAATAAATAACTGAGCAGGGTTACATATAATACAAAAATGACTTGGGAAACAAAAGAATAGCACTTAAATATGAGCTGTAAAGTAAATAGTGTAAGATGTGTTCATTTATAAGTTTTATTTACTATAAAATCATCATCTATAACAAGTAAAACATAGACTGTATTCACCATTGACTTAGTTATTCATTTATTCTTTTTTATTTTTCCTGCTGGGCAATGAACCCAGTGTCACATACGCTAAGGATGCATTCTATCCTTCCAACAACAGCCCTACCCATCACTGATAGTCTTTATTCTGTGTTCTTTTAGATGAAGGCTGATGAATGCACACTTCTGAAACTGACAGGGCCACAGAGATCTTGGAACAAATATGAGGCCTTGGAAGGGAATTCTGACTCCTGCCAGGACAGAGAATGGCGTGAGTTTCTGGCAGCCTTCCCAAAAATGAACTCCGCAGAAACTAAACAACAACAAATGACAACTGAGACCGAAACTCTTAGGGCTGGAAGGTACGAGCCTCTGTAGGCAGGGGGAGCTGCAGCCTGGGCTGCTGGTGGAGGAAGGGCCTTGCACAAGATGAGGCGAGGGCAAGCTGTCTCTGCCCTCTTCCAGATGCCCATGAACAGCTAAGAAATAAGCAGGTGATATACCCATGGCACCACTAGCCAAAAAGGAGACAAAAAAAAAAAAAACACCAAAAACTGAGTGAAAGAAGCCAGGAGGGCAAGATGGCTCAGTGGGTAAAAATGCCTGGCGCTGGCCATGCAATCCTGAGGGCTGGAGAGTTTGATCCTTGAAACTCTTGTAAAGGTGGAATGAGAACAGTGACTCCACAGAGTTCTCTTCTGACTTCCATACATAAGAACCACTCCCAAACACACACATGCACACAATAATAATTATTATGAAATCAAACATTAAAAAAAAGAAGCCAAAACTTTCCTGGGTGGGTAGGCAATCTGAAAGAAGAGAAAATGAAAGTGAGATTCAAAATAAGGCAAAGTGAGAACTCTTCAGGAGGGTCTGATTTTGGAGCCCGCACATTACTTGTGTGAATGCAGAGACTCCTCTGAAGTTGGAGTGTACCCCTGCTGTGAGTTCCAGGGGTCGAACTCAGGCCATCAGGTCTGTGTGGTGACTGCTCTTACCTACTAAGCCATCTTACCAGCTCCCTTCTAGATGTTTTTGTGAAGAAAAACAGAGGGCAAAAGATATGGGCCCACAGGAGCCCACGGAGACAGGTGGAGTGTTATACGTTCTGTTCTGCGCTAGAAGTTCGGGGTTAAGAGGAGGCACAGTGGAGGGCCAGCCGCAGCGGGAGGTAACCTGGAGAGACAGGAGTGTCCAGTGAGCCAGGCCTCAGGGGACAGCTACAGAAGCACACACAGTAGGGCTGGCGTCACATTGGAGGCGCGGGAGTGGAAACAGGCTCGGGTGTGCCCCTGGTGGCCTGCACACCCTCAATGCCATGTGAGGAGTGCCGTCAGCCAGAGGCGGGGAGGGGAGGGATGACAACCTGAGAACTCTGCGGTGGGAGGTGTCAAACACTGTAGCTTACGGGCAACATGTGGCCGGGGAGCTGGTCATGTGGCCTGTAATGATAATGCAGACCTGGAGAGCCAAGCTCTTCATTTCATTTCATGGTAATCAATTTAAAGTGAACGTTGCAGGACACAGAACTAGGAGGCAGAATCCAGCTGTGTTTCTGTACAGCAGCCATGAACAACCTGAAAGGGAGAATTACGGAACCGATTCTTCTTTCAACAGTATCAGAAAGGGGGAAAATCTGCAGGGATAAATTTAACTTAGGGAAACGAAAAGATTTGTGCACTCAAAATTACAAAGCACTGCTCAAAAAAAGAACTGAAGATGGCACAAACAAACAGCGAGCCACCCTGTGCTCTGGGACTGGAAAACAGTGTAATTAAGATGACAGTACGTCACAGAGCCATCTACGAACTCAGTGGGGGAAAGTCCTAAAGGCGTTGGTACAGCAAAGTTAAGCACACACACACACACAGACAAAAAACTTACACCAACCGTGGTGGCGCACACCTGTAATCCTTGCACTTGGGAGGCCAAGGCGGGAAAACACTGTGATCAAGGCCACCTGGCTACCTATCCAGCTGTCTCAAAAATGTCAAATCTGAGCATGGTGTCCTGGTTTGCCCTCCATTGCCGTAATAAAATACGGACCAAAGCAGTTGGGAGAGGAAAGGGTTTGTTTGGGTTTGTTTGGCTTCAAGGGAACAGTCCAACGTTTCAGAGAGCCCGGGCAGGGACACGGGACAGGAGGAACCAGAGACTGCAGAGGAAGGCTGTTCACTGGCTTGTTCTTCATGGCTTCTCTCATTGCTTCTATTTTACTATTTTATTTTTTAAACACTTTGTTTTTGTTTTTTTAAAGATTTAGTTTATACATATGAGCACTCGATTTGCCCCTCCTTCTTTCTTTTAAAGATTTATTTAGGGCTGGAGAGATGGCTCAGAGGTAAAGGGCAAAAGTTGCTCTTCCAGAGGTTCCAAGTTCAATCTCCAGAAACCACATGGTGGCTCACAACCACCTATAAATGAGATTTGGTGCCCTCTTCTGGCCTGCAGGCAGAACACTGTATACATAATAAATAAAATAAATATTTTTAAAAAGATGTATTTATTATGTATACAATGTTTCTGTCTGCCAGAAGAGGGCACCAGATCTCATTATAGATGGTTTTGAGCCACCATGTGGTTGCTGGGAATTGAACTCAGGACCTCTGGAAGAGAACCCAGTGCTCTTAAGCTCTGAGCCATTGCTCCAGTCCCCGGCTTGCTTTCTTATACAGCCAGGCACATCTGTCCAAGGATGGCACTGCCCACAGTGGGCTGAGCGTCCCCCCCCCCCATTAATTAGCAATCAAGAAAATGCTTCATCTACCCACAGGCCAATATGATGGAGGCAGTTGCTCAGCTGAGGGTCTATGTTCCCAGCTATGCCTAGGTTTGAGTCAAGTTTACAAAGCCAGCCAGCACTCCTGGGCAGATGGCTCTGCAGTTAAAGGGGCTTGTCATACAAGCCTGAGGACAAAAGTTTAGGTCTCCAGAACCTATGTAAATATGGGTGAGTATGGTGGCCTGCCCAGAAATTCCAGCCTCTAAAGGAAGAGACCGGGGAACCCCAGATAAGCTGGCTGTCCAGACTAATCAAATCAGTTAGCTCTGGGTTTGACTGAGAAACCTTATCCCAGTGGGTTAGGTAGAAGAGCAATGACGGATAATCCCAAACATATACCTTTGGGACCTCCAGCCATGCATGCCCAGATACACACACACACGCGGGGCACCGGGAGAGCTGCTGTTAGCATTGAGGGTGTCCTAGACGAGCCTCCTCAGGCAAGGGGACCATAACACGTCCACACACCTCACCCGCTCGCTGCAAGGTCGGAAGCAGCCGAGCGCATGCTTCTGGAATAGGAAGGGCTGCTGGCGGGATGACTTTGGATAGATTATTTAATAATTAATTAATAGCAGTAGTCTACAGATATTAATAACTCTGCACCTGAATGTTGGTGGATTTGCAGATGTGGGGAGATAATATTAGTAAAGAATCAAGCAGAATCTAGGAAGTGGCAAGTGTAGCAAACATGTTAGCTGTTATTAGGACGGAGAGAGTGAGGTCTGGACTAGGAAAGTGTTGTTCAAAGGCTCTGCACCACGGCAAACCCCCACTGGAGCAGAGAAACCCCATGAGTGCAAGCACAGGCTGGTGTTCACAGGCTCAAACATAGCTCACCTGGAAGCCATATTCTTTGGGGAGCTCAAGAGTGCAAGCAGGAGTCTCCACCGCCAAGGTCCACTTCCAGATGCACACTTTCTGCAAGAAAGACCACAGCAAGAGACATAAGAGGCCCCTGAGGCTGCAGGAGAAGCCTATGGCTATGGAAACCCTGAGGCCTCAGGCAACTGAGCAAAGGCCTAGAGCCAAAGCATGGGACCCCAACTCTACGCTGTGATGTCCACACACACATCAGAAGGCCTGCAAGGAGTGGCTGCAAAGACATCCAGCATGCTGGCCAGCTCAAAGAGGCCTACCCAAAGGACCGTTTACCTGTATTTCAGCATCTGAGATGGTGGCCAGAAGCTTGGCATCACGGGTGATGGCTATTGACCTTATGCCATTGCCTTCTGGACAGCTGTCAAATAAGGTGTGTACGGGGATTCTGAAAAACAGGACAGAAAGGGACAGCCCTTGTGGAGGGGCGTCTGGCTTCCAAATGATGCTGAACTCAGCCAAATCTTCCAAAAGCAAAGTATGACCTGTTAATGCAAAGGGATATTTGTGTCTAATTAATATTTGTGTCCAGATAATTTAGTCTTTGTAAAATATTTATTTTAAAATTATGTATGTGTGCACAGATGCATGTATGTGAGGGGCCTGTGGAGGCCAGAAGAGGGCACTGGATCCCACAAAGCTCGAGTTACAAGCAGGTGAGCCACCAGACATGGGCACTAGGAACGGAACTAGGGAGGACTAGCAGGCCTCTTGACTCCCTGAAGCTATCTCTCCAGTTGCCAACTCCTACCTCCCTTTTTGAAGACATGGTCTTGCTACACTATAGCCCAGGCTGGCCTCAAAACTGTGATCCTCCTGAGTGCTATGAGTTACAGCTATGAGCTAGTCGTCACAGCTGAATCAATTCATTTTATTCATTAATTATACATGAGCAAACTGTCATTATTATCCATTCTTCCACGAGGAGAAGACAAGCACTGGCACATGCCACAACACAGACACACCCTGAGAACAAAACACGAAAGCTCACATGACCGAGCCCACAGACAGGAAACAAAGTAGAGACTCTGTGAGCAGAGAACGGACTGGTGACTGCCAGGGGGTAGGAAGGGAGGAGGGGGAGGGGAGCCAGCGGAAGGTGATGGCTGTGTGACTCTGTCCTAAATGCCAGCCCTCTGTATAGTTTCACATGTCCCGTCTGTCGTTATTTGAACTTTATCTCAGTAATAACAGAGGGCCTGACTCAAGCAGTAGGATAATCGTGCTGATCGCTCTCCTCACGAGCGCCGCCGTCGCTCATTCACCTTGCTCTTGGTGCTGACCTCCTGCCAGGACACTCTGCCAGACATGAAGGATGCAGCTGGGCTCCAGCCTGCAGTGTTCACAAAGGCTTGGCCACCAGCTGATCAGCTCTGGGGGAGTGACTGAATCCTGAAGGCCTTATGATTGTCGATGGTTGAAATCTCTGAATCTATTCATATAATACAATGGTGTTACTTGGTGGGGGTGCAAACTGGAACGCGGGGCTGGGGAGATGGGTCCGTGGTTGCTGCGCTTGCCATGCAAGCAGGAGGACCAGTGTCTGGAACCCAGAACACCCGTGTAAATGCTGGGCAGCTGTGGTGCCCCTCCTTGTTAATCTAGTGCTTAGAAAGCAAAGACCAGGACCCCAGATCAAGCTGGCTAGCTAGACTAGGCATATTGGCAAACTCTGGGTTCGACGGACTGACCCTGTTTCAGTGAATAAGGTAGAGAATAGTAGAAGATGGTTCCCCAAAGTCAACATTTGGCCCCTGTGACAGATGTGTGCTCGCAGAGCCCCTGTGACAGCGACTATCAACAGCCCTCTTCGTGTCACAGCAGCATCAGCTGGCTGGAACAAGCCTGCGCTCAAGTTCTCCCTGTCATTTGAGAAGCTTCGGCTAACTGAAATGCAGCCCCAAACACTCACTTGCATGGCCGCCCTCACATGGCTGGGAATGGCAGCTCCGGGTTCACAGAGGGAGATTGCATCTCGGCCCCTGAGAGGTTGCAAATTACATACACAGAAGGCAAGTCAGTCGGATCTGTGGTATTAACATATAGGTGGGACCCAAAAACACTCGTTTGTCATTTTGGGACTATAGAAAGGGTAAGAGATACCCCGAGGTATCAGGGTCTCTAGCAGATTAGCTCTAAGTTAAAATGTGCGGCTGATTTAGACTTCCAGTTCTTAATAGAAATCATTTTAGATTTATAGTGTTAGAAATCCTTAAGAGAGCTTAAGGTTTACATATTTATGGATAAATTTATTAGATTTATAGGAATTACTTAATTATTGGTGAGAAATTTGTTTCTTAATTAGACCACAAAAAATTAAACCCAAAACTGAATATATTTCATTTCTACACCCAGGTTAGTTGCATAACCATACATTAATCAAAGGCTCATCAAAGGCGACTGCAAAAATATGCGTGAAGGCGCACGCCTGTAATCCCAGCACTCAGGAGGCTGAGGCAGGCGGATCTCTGTGAGTTCGAGGCCAGCCTGGTCTACAAAGTGAATTCCAGGACGGCCAGGGTTACACAGAGAAACCCTGTCTCAAAAACCAAACAAACAAAAAGACCTGTTTGAAACAGTGGCCTCTAGTCTCGGATGACCTGGGAATTCACTGTGTAACCCCAGCTAGCCCGACACTCACAGCCCCCCTGTCTCAGCCTCCAGCTGCAGGGGTTACAATGTTTACCACCACAACCAGTTAACCTTTTGCTGTCCTTGTGGCTGCAGCGGCGGGGGCTGGGCCTGAGTCGCACACAGGCTCCGTGGGTGCTCCAGCATGGAACTACATCCCTACCCCTGAGTGAGGGGTTTTGTTTGTTTTTTGTTTCTTGTTTTAATTTGAGACAGGGTTTCTCTGTGTAGCCTTGGCTGTCCTGAACTCGCTTTGTAGACCAGGCTGGCCTGGAACTCACAGTGATCAGCCTGTCTCTGCCTCCTGTCTGAGTAAGATGTTGAAGGAAAAATGTTTTTGTTTGTTTGTTTGCCTTGTCACTAAGACTAAAACAGCCTCCAAATAATCTTTTATGGACCATAAGCTATCATAGAACTCATACCAAGCACCTGTCTGGGCTACATAGTGAGACTCTATCTCAGAAAAAAAAAAAAAAAAAAAAAAAAAAAGTTCTGACTCTATCTGGGAGTCCACGTCATCAACAAGAAAGCACTAATGGATCAGCACTGTTCATACTGGGTCTAGCCATGGAGGCGGCCGTCAACAGAGGCTTCTAAGAAGGACATAGAAGAAGATGATAGATGTTGGTAGATGTTTGTGGACATTCTCTTACACCGGTCAGTTTTCCCTCAGGGTCAAGGTGGATGTTTCGTTACTTGCAAGGGCTGAGATGGCTGGCTGAACCCCGCGCTGCCATGCCCAGCCATGCAAGTGAGTGTTTGGGGCTGCATTTTAGCTAGCCGGAGCCTCTCAAATGACAGGGGGAACCCGACTTATTCTAGCCAGCTGACGCTGCTGGCTGCGTCAGCAGAGCGCTGTTCACAGTCGCTGTCACGGGGGCTCTGCAGCAGGGGAATGCGGGGTGCCACACAGCCCACAGGGATCTCAGGCGTGAAGGTGAAGACAGTTCTCTGTAACCAGGGCTGATGGGGCAATGGTGCCCTCCACAGGAGAGCCACACGATTGGATTTATGCTTGTGAAATGAGTGTGCCAAACATGGCGCGGGAAAGCTACACACTGAACGCCCTCTGTGTTTAAATCAGCAGCACATGTTCTAGAGGGAAGCGCACTGGGCTTATTGTCACCGGGGAAAGCAATGTAACTGGAGACGGTGGCCAGTGCAGGCTTCAGTTTCCAGCTAAAGTCATTCATTTGGTTTTTCATTAAATTTGTGACAAATGTCTTCAGCGACAAGTCATGCCTCATTTCCGTTGCACTGATGGTCAGTGGAATTTGAAAGAAAGCCCAGGGCTGGCGAGATGGCTCAGCGGCTAAAAGCACTTGCTGTTCTGGAAGAGAACGTGGGTTTGGGTCCCAGCACCCCACATGACAGTTCACAGCCGTCTTAACCCCAGGGGATCTGATGCCCTCTTCTGGCTGTCTCAGGCAGTGCATGCATGTGGTGCACAGACTTACATTCAGACAAGTCACCCATACACATACTAGATAGATAGATAGATAGATTAGATAGATAGATAGATAGATAGATAGATAGATAGATAGATAGATAGATAGATAGATAGATAGATAGATAGATGAAATGTTAAAGAGAGAGAGAACCCAACATTCACGGTCACTTCCACAAAGGATTAGAAGTGCTGGGGTCTCCTGGAATGCAAAGGTGGTTCTAGCTACTTCAACACACAGAAAGCTGAATTCATACTCCAGCACAGGAAAACAAAGCATGGTAAAAAAAAAAAAAAGGGGGGGGGCTGGAGAGATGGCTCAGAGGTGAAGAGCACTGGCTGCTCTTCCAAAGGTCCTGAGTTCAATTGCCAGCAATCACATGGCGGCTCACAACCATCTGTAGTGAGATCTGCTGCCCTCTTCTGGTGTGAAGGCTCACATGCAGGCAGAATGCTGTGTACATAATAAATTAAAAAAAAAAAAAACCTTTTTTAAAAAATCATTTTAAAAAATGAGAGTGTTGAGATGAGAGAGAAAATAGCTTTATGTTGTCTTTTGTGATTCATCTGTCCTTTCACCTATACTACAGCCTTCCTTGTCCACAGATAGTATGTTCTTTTGGTCTCTTAATTTACCTACAATTTTACTGTTTACATACATACGAGAATACGTTACAAGATCTGTATATAAAAGATTGCATTGGCCATAGAAAAAGTAATTTTTCCCCAACATCTGTTTAAAATCATATCAAATCATTTGATCACAGTGTTATTTGATATGTAAACTATATGTTACTATACATAACATATAGTATGGTTTAAAATTTTAAAATATATATTAAAGTTAAAATTTACAAAGCAACAAATGAATAAATAAAGCATAGGTTTATCCATATAATGGAATACTATGCAGCCATAAAAAGGATAAGGTGGGAGCTAGAGAGATGGTTTAGCAGTTAAGAGGACCAGCTGCTCTTCTGGAGGCCCCAGGTTTGATTCCCAGCACCCACATGGTGGCTTACAATATTCTGTAACTCCACCCCCAGGAATCCAATGGCCTCTTCTCACTTCCCACACACATAAAATGAAAATGCAGTATTTAATTATTTGTGTGTTTGTGTATGAGTGTTTTGTCTGCATATATGACTACGCACTGCACGCATGCAGGGCTCCTAGAGGCCAGAAAGGGCACAGGAGTCCCTGGGATTGGAACTACAGAAGGTTGTGAGCCGCTTACTATGCGAGTGAAGAGAATCGAATCCAGGTCCTCTAGAAGAGAAGCCAGTGCTCTTAACCATTGGCCCATTGCTCAAACCTCTAAATAAATCTTTTCAAAAACAAAACAAAACAAAACAAAAAAGACTAGCTGGGTGGTGGTGGCACACACTTTTAATCCCAGCACTCCAGAGGCAGAGGCAGGTGGATCTCTGTGAGTCTGAGGCCAGCCTGGTTTATAAAGCATGTTCCAGGACAGCCAGGGCTACACAGAGAAACCCTGTCTTGAAAAAACAAAACAAAACAAAAACAACAAAACAAGAACAACAAAAACAAACCAGACTGGGCTGCTACAACAGGGGAGACCTTCAGGGGTGTTATACTCTGTGAGAGAAGCATAAAGGCCGCATGTTGCAAGACTCTGTTCCCAGTAAATGTCTGGAGTAGACACATCTGTGAAGACAGAAGGTGTGTCAGAGGAGCTGAGGAGAGAGAACGGGAGCTCCTCAGAACACAGCTGCTATCTGCAGTGATGACAATATCTGAAGCAGCTCACTGTGGTGTAACTAATGCCACTGGTTGACACAATTCAAAATGGCCGCCAGCCCTGGCGGGGGTGGCGCACGCCTGTAATCCCAGCACTTAGGAGGCAGAGGCAGGTCGATCTCTGAATTTAAGGCCAGCCTGGTCTACAAAGCAAGTCCAGGACAGCCAGGGCTACATAAAGAAACCCTGTCCTGAAAAAAAAAAAAAAAATGGCTTCTGGGTACGGTAGTGTAGACTTGTAACTCGGGAGGGTTGTGAGTTCAAGGACAGGCTGGATTTTATAGCGAACCCTGACCCCAAACAATCAAAAAATAAAATAGGGCTGGTGAGATGGCTCAGTGCAAATAGGCTCCTGCTGGCAAGCTTAGAGGCCTGAGTTTAACACCCTCAGAACTCACACAAAGGACAGAACAGACCCCCCACTAGCATCTATGAGCCCCATATATGTGCTGTGGCATGTGTGGACACACACAGATAAATAAATGTAAAAACAATAGCCAGCCAGTGGTGGCTTGATCTCAGTGCTTGGGAGGCAGAGGCATGTGGATCTCTATAAATTTGAGGCCAGAAGTGTAGAAAGAATAACTAAAATTGGTAACAAGGTGATTTTTAAGTTGTCTGTATTTTACAATAAGAAACATTAAAAGCTTGTGGGGCACCTATGTACTCTCAGCCCTTGGGAGGCAGAGGCGGGCAGATCTCTGTGAGTTCCGGTAGAGCCAGGTCTACATAGTGAGACCCTCAAAAATAAAATAAAAAAAAAAAACATTTCAAAGTCTGACTAGTCAAAGACTGACCCCGAGGAGGCACCTGGGAGCCTGTGGGGGCAGCAGAGGCCGGGGGGGGGGGATGGACACGAGAGCGAGGGCAATGCCACAGGACTTCCCGCCATTTTAGCAGCAGGTACCCGGAAACGCTGCAGCTTCCTCGCTGGGAGGACGTGTGGATAGGGTTGTGGTGGTAACGGTCCAGAGGATAAAGCAGCCTTGTGCCACCTTCCACAGTTATGGGATGCCCAGGGGGTGGGACCCTGAGAAGAGACTAGAGGGAACAACCTTGGGAGGCGCAGTGTTGAGTGTTACTAAAAGTCGGTTCAAGTGAGGATGGGGGATTAGGGAACAGGACCGTGGAGGCCAGTGCTCGGTGGATGGACGGCAGCCCTGCGTACCCCCCTCCAGGGCGTTAAACAGAAGTCCTGCCCAACAGTCTTATTCATCTTGACTCAACTGTTACTCCACCCCCAACCAGGGCCTTCGGTCTGTCAGTCTAGAGCCCCTTTCTGCGTCTAAGTTCTGAAAAATGCTCCACTGACCCTCACAGTGCTAGGTGTGTAGAATGGTTTGCATAGGGCCTTGGGGGACTCATGTTTACTCAAAACCTGAAAGGGTAATGCTTTTTAAAAACGCAGTCTTTGGATTTACAGTAACCTCCTTTCAGTCCAGTCCACTCTGGGCCATCAACCAACCAGGTTTCTTGGCAACAACATTATTTAGCCCTTTCTTGGCCACAGTGGCCCGTCTTCTACGGAAATCAGAGTGAGAAGGATCCGAGCACACAGCCTACCCTGTGAAGGAATCCCATATCATGATGAGGCAGTCTGGTCCTTTGTCTGCTGTGGCAATCCACCGCCTGTCTTCGCTGACACAGAGACAGGAGATGATGTTCGGGTGGCCCTGTGGAAATGGAGAAGACACACTTAGAAATGATGGGGAAACAGTGTGGACCTCAGGGAGGCCTGTGCCCATATAGCCCTGAGCTCCTTCCAAAGCTCGTGCGCGCTTGTGGTTTGGAGTTGGGGGTAGCTTCTCAAGACTTCCCCTCCCTCCACAAAGCCGAAGGAGCTGCATTCTCTGAAGGAGGAGGCCCTCCCTAGGGATGGAGGTTAGTACCCAGTCCAACCAGGACCTCTGAACTCCCTGCTGGCCTCACAAACACTGCTCACCATGGATTGCTGGACAGCTCTTCGGCTCACTGGTCTCTGATTCGGACCCAACACCCACACAACAGAGGAATCTTCCAGAAACATGCACAGAGCTGACAGCAGTCTTGCAGGACGTGGTCCTCATTACAATTCCCTCCCTCCTTATTCCAGTCTGCCACCTCCTCCTCGTCAGCCACACTGGCCTCTTCTCCAGCCTTCACACATAAGGCCTTAGCCCTTGAGGCAGCTTCTATCTGGAGGGTTCTGCCTCAGCCTGTCCTGTTGGCTCATTTTCTCATTCTCAGCAGAAACGGGACCTTTATGGTCCCCGCTCAGCAGTCTAGGGTCTCTCTCGTCATGACCTCATTGGCACGCCTTCCCATCCCATCCAAGCACTAGTTACTCCGTGTTTATATCTTTATGCTCCCTGATTCAGTATCTTTTGTATCACAGACTGGGAGTTCTGTGAGGATGGGGCTTCATCAGTTCTTGTCTGTGGCCACAGCTAATTAATCTGAAACTCGGCAATGGTTAGGATGCAGTTGCAGTGTGCATAAATGGTCAAAGTCAGTCCTAGTTGAGAACTGGCACGGCAAGGCTCATGTGGGTTATGCTGCACCTGTAGGAGCTGCCTGCCTGCCCACCCCGTCACTCCCCTCTGTGGCTCCTGTACTTGGTGGTGTATACCTAACCCAGCCTCGATGGGACTTGCTCACTGCTTTCATCAGGAAGGAAAACCTAAGGCTGCATCCCACTGCCACGCGGAGCACTACCGAGGTGCTTGGGAAATACTTTGTGATCCTTTTGATCTTGGTGTTGACTAAGAGTGGTTCTGTGACGTCACACAATCATGAAAAGGCAGCACAGGGCTGATAACCAAGTCAGCAGCAGACAGCGGGCACCCAGAAACAGGACATTCAGGTAGAAAATGATGACCGTGAAAGGGGCCAGACTATCAGGGGTGGAGGAGGCAAGCGGTGTGAGGAAGGCAGGCACAGAGGACGCCAGAGGAGGACAGGGGGCTGAAATAACAAGAAGCACCGTACTGTTTCTCACTATGTATCTGTAATGTTTCTTAGAATGCAGAGTGAGGGAAGGACAGGAGGACCCCTGGCCTCCTGAGGCCTTCCAAGTCCTAAGACCCAGAGTCACCGCATGGCAGTGCAGCCTGGGCTAGTCACTGGACACTCCACGCCTCAGGCTCCTCCTCCATCACCTGGGCGCACTCCACCTTCCCTCGTGAAAATAAGAACCTGACACTAAGTGGCTGTGGGTCTGAGGGTCCAGTGAGCAGCCGCCCTCCGTAACTCCTCACACTTTTGTGGGGACACAGTCTATGCTGCCACGTTAGGTTTTTGGTTTTTTGTTTGTTTTGTTTTTGTCTGTTTGTTTTTCAGAGATGTACACATCCAGATGTTTCCATTTCTCGAAATGATAAAATTACTACCAAATACTGTTTCTCAGTGGGTACTGATTGGATGCCGACAGTGGGCGACGGCTCGTGCTTCTCTTATTTTCTTTTTCTTTGTTACGTTTGTGTATGCCCACATGTATGCCTGTGTATGTGTGTGTGAGAGAGAGAGGGAGGGAGAGTGGGAGTTCGTGCTGGGGCCGGTACACCTGCCTCGGTGCACAAGATGAGGCCAGAGGACGACCCACAGGAATTGCTCCTCTCCTACCTCCTACCGTGAGGTCGGGGGGGGGGGGGCAAGCTCAGGTAGCTTATCAGGCTTGGTGCTTGCAGGCTGAGCCATCTCTCTGTTCCTAACACCTGTCTCTAACGGGAGAATCTGCTGAAGGAAGGAAATGCCAGCAAATACGGCAGCGAGGCACTGAGGCCAACCTGGGAGCCACGGCAAAGCTCTACGTGTAAGCTATGTGTCTCTTTTTCCAGCCTGGCCTGGTGGTGCACGTCTGTAATCCCAGCACTCAGGGAGGCAGAGGCAGGTGGATCTCTGTGAGTTCGAGGCCAGTCTGGTCTACAAGTCCAGCCAGGACAGCCAAGGCTACACAGAGAAGCCCTGTCTTGAAAAATCAAAATGAGATAAATAAAAACGAAAACCCACAAACAACAATGAAAAAAACAAAACCATCTTTTTGCTCACAGGGAGACACACCTCACTTACCTGAAGGTGGTACTGGCAGTTCCTGACCCAGCTGTAGATGACGGCGGTGTTACCACAAACGTAGAGAAGGACTCTCTGGTTCTCCCGGAGGTAGAAGACAGGGAGGGAATTGTTCCATCCATAGGACCAGGTCATAGACTAGGAGACAAAGACAAACGCAGGGAACCACTGGTGTGCTGTGGCTCCTGCGGGCCCTACCCATCGGCCTCTGGAGGAGAATGACTCTGATGGTCCAAGGAAAAGAAACCTTTTCATTTGTGTATAACCCGGGTGGGCTGTAAGCTCACTACAGAGCTAAAGGGTGGCCTTTTACTCCTAATCCTCCTGACTGCCCTACTTCTTCCACAAAGAATGAAAGGATGGAGGGAGGGAGAGGGCAGGGAAGGAGACAGGGTGGGAGGGTCTTTAACACCATACAAAACACTTTTCTGTTCTCCCACTCCCCAGGCTTGAAGCCCCACTCGGTGCTAATATAGAGTGAGCACTTAATGAGTGCATTACTCACTTCCTGAAAACATAGAGCAGAGAAGGTGCAATGAGCTAACTGAGCAGGTTTACGAAAAAGCAAGCACTGGACCTGAATAGCTGGGTCACCTGCTTGGTTTTGTGTTTTGGTTGCTGTTGCTGCTCTGTCTTCTCCCAGAAAAAGTTTCTCTACGTACCAGGCTGAGGTGCATCTCAGTGGTAGAGTGTACTTGCCTAGCCTGGGCAAAGCCCCAACTTCAAATACCAGCACCACACACAGACACCAAATAACTACGTCTACACTTCTGGGAGCGATGCTGCAATAAGAGTCTTCTGAAATGAGAAGCTGAGACCTTTTGGAAAGGGAAAAACTACTGTGAGGTTGTAAATGATCAGCAGCTGCCCGGCTTCTGGAGGAGGAGGGAGAGGGGACGGGAGGCATGCAGGGCAGTTCTAGACAGACCCTCTCCTAGTGAGACTGAACCAGGGGCTGTGCAGAGTTACACAGTCATCAACACCACAGGATGTACAACGCACCTCCCGATAACGTGATCTGCTAATAGTGCGTTAGCCCTGCCATATCAGTGCTGGCAAACGCGTCACACCAGTGAAAGCTGGTGATGGGCGGGGAATCTGGAGGTAGCGGCACCAAGGGATACATGGAGACTCTGTACTGTCCTCTCAAATTTTCCATGAGCCTGAAGCTGCTCTCTCTCTCACACATGAAATCCAATCAGCTTAAAGCGGTGTTGAAAGAGGTGGAGGTTGAACGACAGACTTCTGAATATAGCATCAAGCTGTCTTTCTTCTCTTGGAACAACACTTAGGAAGTTGAATGGTGATACCGTGTATTTCTTCCCAAGACAGACAGGGTAGGTAACAGGCATGTTCATTTATGCAGTGTTCATTCCCCAGCCTTCCTGCTTCCATATGCCTGCTCCCTGGAATCTGTGTTTCTCTTTAGATCTTGGATTGCGTGGGCAGGATTGGTGGGACTGTGGGATCATAACTGTCTCAAGCTCTGCCTTCTAGGAACAGAATGACTTAATATTTGGCTTGGTTCTAAAAAGCTGCTTATGCAAATGAAACTGTCCCTTTGGACACTTGTTAATCCTAATAGGATCATCATGTTCATCTTGAAATTTCATTCTGTCACTTTAAAATCAGTCATGAGGCAGGAAATACTCCTAGCTGGGTGCGCTGATGCAAGCTTGTAATCCCAGGGAGGCAGAGGCGGATGAGATGACTCTGAGTTCGAGGCCAGCCTGATCTACAAAGTAAGTCCAGGACAGCCAAGGCTACACAGAGAAACTGTCTCGGAAGAAAGAAAGAAAGAAAGAAAGAAAGAAAGAAAGAAAGAAAGAAAGAAAGAAAGAAAGAAAGAAAGAAAGAAAGAGAAGGAAAGTAGGAAGGAAGGAAGGAAAGGGAAGGAAAGAAAAGGAAAGGAAGAAAGAAAGAAAAGACAGACAGAAATAAAGAAGAAAAGGAAGAAAGAACGAAGTAGATTAGCCTTGGCAACATAGTGCATTTGAAACCTGCTTGGACTATATGAGAACCAGCTTTTTTGTTTTTGTTTTTTTTTTTAAGCAAAACAAGGGGCCACCAAGATGGCTCCCAGGGTAAAGGAGCTTGCTGTACAAGGCCAGTGACCTGAGCTTAGTGTCCAGAACTGATGTAAAAGTGGAGAGAAACAACGCTGCAGGGTTGTCTTCTGACTTCTATGCACACATACCGTGTACACATACCCAATAACATATTAACTAACAACAACAACAACAACGAAAAGAAGAAGGGCTGGCAAGATGGCTCAGCAATGAAAGTGCTTGCCACCAAGCCTGATGACATGAGTTCAATCCCCAGGATCCACAGGGTGGAAGGGACGCTTAGATGCATGCTACATGCATATGTGTGCTGTAACACACATATGTACACATACACAAACATAAGCTAAATAATTTTGTGAATGTACTGCATGCGTTCTTGGCGCCTGCAGAGGCCAGAGCATTAGATCCCTAGAGCCAGAGTTACAGATGGTTGTGAGCTGCCGTGTGCTGAGAATTGGACCTGGCTTCTCTGCAAGTGCTCTAAATCGCTCAGCCTTCTCTCCAGCCCCTAGATAATGTTTGTTTTTGAAGGAAAGAAGTGTCATGTTCTTCCAAGATTAAAACTGGGCTGCCTGCTGGGTGTGGTGGCACACACCTGTAATCCCAGCAGAGGCAGGCGGATCTCTGTGAGTTTGAGGCCAACCTGGCTATACAGAAAAATTGTGTCTCTGAAAAACAAACAAACAAACAAACAAGCAAGCAAACTGGGCTGCCTTCATATGCTGGAGTCACTCTAGAACCACATTCAGAGTTACTGACAACAGAGGATTAATCATATCTCTTACCTCATATCCTTCCTAACATTCCAATGAACACATGGGGTATAAACCACCTTGGACAATTACATTTTTCTAAAGCACTGGGACATGAAAATGACAGCTGCGTCACAGGGACTGGGTTTTCCTGCAGTTGGCGACCCTGACTCTGCTTACAAGCTCTTACTCCCTCTCTTTCTGACAAGAACGGGACCCATGGTGAAGCCTGGCCACCAGTGGTCCTATGGTTTCCCTAAGGCAGCTGGACAAAGACGATGGACCCAGAGGAAAAGACAAGTGGAAGGGCGGGGAGGGGAGGGGAGGGGAGAAAAGAAGGCTAGGCAGGCATGGTAGCCTTGTTTGTAACACTAATGCGATGGTTTGAGAAAGAAGGGCTCCTGTAAGTTCATACATTTTCTTGCTTAGCTTTGAGGTTCCAAAAACTCAGTGCAGGTCCAGCCCCCCACTCCTCTCTGCCTGCTACCTGCAAATGGATCTGGGGTGTGGGCTCTGGGCTCCAGCACTGTGCCTGCCACACTGCCTGCCGTGATGATCACTGGGTAACCCTCTGAAACTGCAAGCAGGACCCCAAAAACGCTTTATTTTTGCAAGCCTTGCCTTGGTCATGGTGCCTCTTCACATCAATAGAACGCTGACTAGGACGCCTCAACAAAGGGGCGTAGAGAACAAGTAATGAGCGTCCAGCTATGTGAGAGACATTATCTCAAAAAATAAAGAGGGACGTGGCAAGATGGCCCAGTGAGTAAACGTGCTTGCTGCCAACAGACGCCTGAGGACATCTGTTCAGGCCCTAGGCCCACATGCCAGGGAGGGGAAACTGATTTCTGAAAGGTGTTTTCTGACTGACTTTCACATGAGCACTGGGCCACGTGCATGACTCTCACAAATAAAGGCACCATCCTTTTTTTTTTTTTTTTTTTCTTTTTTCAATAAAAATAAATAAGGTGGAGAGTAATGGAGATCACTGATTGTTGGCAAAGTTGTACAGGGCTATAATCCTAGTACTCAGGAGGCTGATAGAAGAGAGTTGTAACTTCCAGGCCCGCCTGGGCTACATAGTAAAAACCTCGTCTCAAAACAAAACAGAGAAACCAAAATCTGATGTGAGCTGTGTTCAAAGGCTCACTCTGTGTTAGGACCAAGCTCTTTAAATAGAATCAATCTTTCAAGGGCATGAATCAATAGGAAAAGAAATGGGGGGGGGGGGGAAAAAAGCAAAAAAGATCCCACCAAACAATTTCCAGAAAGCAGCAGATGGGGAAGAGCTGGGGGAGGGGCTTCTTCTCCCTTAGCTGGGTAAATGACAATATTTTTGCACCTCACAGATGGTGCCTCCCTGGGAGACCTGTCAGCAGCCACAAGGGCAGATTCCTAGCAAAAGGCCAGAGCTTTGTCACTTTCTGACTGGGGTCTGGGGAGCTCTCAAAGCAGAAAAGGCGAGGTGGGAGGAGGAGTAAAAATGATGGAGAAACGTTAGCAGTGTCTAAGATGGTGAGAAGAGGAAGGAAGAAGAGGAACAGGCTGGGAAAGAGGACCAGGAGTCTCCCTTGTGAAATAATCCCAACACAGCAGTAAAGCTATGCTGGGAATTTCCGGCCTGCTGAGCAGTGTTATTGAACCCAGATGTTACCATCAAGTTCCAGGTCTAAAACATGGGTGCCCCTCCCAACCCAGCTCTTGACAGAACTTTAAAAGACATAGTTTGTCTGAAAAATATTAGGTTAAAAAGTATTTTTCTTTTCAGGTTGGAGAGATGCCATTGAGAGGACTGAGTTTGATCCTCAGAGCCCCTGTTTAAAAAACGAAAGTGGCTAGGCGTGACAGAAATGGTTGTTGGCAATCCCAATGCTGGGGAGGCAGAGGCAGTCAGATCTCTTGAGTTCAAGGCCAGTCTGGTCTACAGAGTGAGTTTCAAGACAGGGCTACAGAGAGAAACCCTGTCTCAAAAAAACCAAAACAAAACAACAGCAATAATAATAAAGGAATAAGAAGAAGAAGAATGGTGACAAAGTTTGAAGAAAGACGCCCAAGGTTATCCCCTGGCCTTCACGTGCATGTGGGTGCACAGACATGCACACACACGCACACATACACTCATGCACATATACACTGGGACTTCCCAGACACTCACAGATGCCCTTTCTCACAGTACTGTCCAGACCTAGGGTGACACTGTGACACTTACCAAAGGGTACACCTTGCTCCCCTCTTCCTTCTGGAACAAGGCGTCCTCTGTGGAGATGGACACCAGTGACTCCTCAGAGCTCTCTGATTCCAAGGGAGATTTTCTTCTTGCTTCCTCTGCCAGAAGGATGGAAGGTCGCCCAAATTTTGCCATTTTGAAAACATCTTCCTGTTTTGGTTCTGTGTCCCTCTGTTCTTGGGCTGAAATGTCTTCTGGCTTTTGGTCAGCGTCCTCAGATTTCCCCAGTGACCTCCTCTGTGACTCCTCAGACTTTCTCTTAACTCTACCATCTCTGAAAAGCTCACTCACTTGAGGACTTTCGGAGTGGGGGGATGACTTGTTACTGTCTGAGAGTTCACGCTTTAAAAAGAGACAAAAGATTCCACTCACATGTGATACCCAAGGCTACCTTCTCCCATTCACTGTTTGTTTTTTCCATTCCCAGTCAGCCACGACTCAGACTATCAGGTGGTTCAAAAGGGAGCCTAGGGCATTTCGTACTAAAAAAATGAATCATGGCTGTGTTCAGGTTAACTCTTGACCTTCCAACAGTAAGGCCACACAGTAGGCCCTTGTAAGTACCTCTGGGAGTCTTGTCTTTGGACCAGGGCTGAGTTCTTTCTTGGGATTCGGCTGTGGGAAATCCACACCGCTATTATTACCACAGGAACTCTGTCCCAAGATGAGTATGTCTCACCTTCAGCTCACCCACTGGCCCTTTTCAAGCCAGGCACACACTTCACGGAAGGTTGCATTGACCATCCTCCAAACTGGATTAAACCACCCTCCTGGGCCTCTCACAATCACTGCCTTTAGCATGTGGTTTCCTTTTCTTTTTAGCGTGTGTGTGTGTGTGTGTGTGTGTGTGTGTGTGTGTGTGTGTGTGAGCGCGCTCACGCTATGTGGGCACTCAAGGAGTGCTGAAGAGGGAATCAGATTCCCTGGACCTGGAGTTATAGGACAATTCATCATAGATGCTGGGAACCCAACTCAAACCCTCAGTAAGAACAACAAGGGCTCTAAACGCCAAGCCGTCTCTCCAGCCTTGGGACTGTGTCTTACTTGGTTTAGTACCCCTGTCGCCTGATACACACTAAGCATGCAACTATGATTCTGAATGAAGGGGTGGAGAAGTTACAGCAGGACTCACCGATGAAAATCCTGATGGGGATGACTCAGAGCTCATGATATCCTCCACCCCAAATGGTTTTTCATGCCTCTTTGACATTTCCTCCTGGAGTTTTCCAAGTTCTTCCTCAATTTCTTTTATGTCAATAACTTCCTCCTCCACCTCCTCCTCCTTCTCCTCTTCCTCCTGCTCTCCACTTTGCTCTTTCTGCTCTTTTTTTTCCTGTCTTTCCCCCTTCTCCTCTTCCTCTTCCCCAACTCCTTCTTCCTTACTTCCCTTTTTCTCAACTCCCTTTTCCTCACCTTTTTCCTCTTCACGTCTCTCTTCTTCCTCCCAGCTCTCTTCCTCACCTCTCACCCCCGATTCCTCACCTCCTGTCTCTTCTGTCATTTCTTCCTCACCTCCCATCTCTTCTTCTGTCATTTCTTCCTCACCTCCCATCTCTTCTCCTATTTCTTCCTCACTTCTCATCTCTTCTTCTCCCCCCATTTCTTTCTCTTCTTCCCCTTTCTCTTGATCTTCTCTTTCTTCCTCTCCTCCCTCTATCTGTTCCTCCTCCTCTATCCATCTCCTTTCCAGTCCCTCTTCCTCCACCTGAAACCCCTCCCATGACAGATTGTCCGCCAGCTCCTGTTGCACATCTTCCTCTTTATAACTTGGATTATATTTCTCCTCTTCTTTTTCTGAATCTGACATTCTTCTGTAGTTTCCACTGGAGAAACTCTGAGGTAGCTTTAGCAGGCCCCTCTGCTTCCCACTTGAGCTTCCTCATATACTAACATACTGAAATACACGGAAGCAGCCGCTCAGGGTCCTTCCTGTGAGGGTAAAAAGAATGCCATCTTCTTGGGAAAGCCAAGCTCAAATCTTAAAAATCTCTAAAATATTGATTCCCAGGGACCCCCATCTATCTAGGACTGATCTTAGAGTCTTCTAACTCACTTTAAATAATTCATGTTTCCACAAGCAGCAAAATATCTAAGTCAGGCATTAGCCGATAGGAATAAGATGACAGGGTACTCTGGTAACAAGTGTGAGCGTTGTGCTTAAAGGCTTCCCCATTTCACTACCCTCTTTTGGTGACTGGAGGCAAGTCACTCTACCCTTCCTTGGTCACATGTGCTTACAGGCAAAAATAAAGATGATAATCCTAAATTCTAGCATGATTTAAAGACTTGGGGCAACACATGAATATTGCTCAACACAGACTCAGCCCACAGAGCTTGCAAAAACATAAAGTCAGATATTATGGAGATAAAAGCAACTTTGTTGTTGCAAAGAACTTGACAGTTTAAAGGTCCTCTGGGGTGAAACCCCCAAGTCTGTGTACCTAAGGTAGACCCCCAGGACTCACATGGTGAAAGGAGAAAACCAACTCCCAAAGGTTTTCATGTGCCCCAGTAAACAAACAAACAAATACAATTAAATTTTCATTCTGGGCTGCAGAGGTGGCTCAGTGGTTAAGAGCACTCCGACTGCTCTTCCAGAGGACCCAGGTTTGATTCCCAGCTCTGACACGGTGGTTCACAGCCATCTGGAGCCCCAGTTTCGGGGTGTCTGACACCCTCTCTTGGATTCTGCAGGCATTTCACACGCGGTACACAGACATACATCTAGACAAAACATCCTCGCATATAAAATTATTTTTAAAAAGTTTTAATTACTCTGATACATTCTCTCATTTTGCATCTACAACAAACAAAGAGTTTGGGAGCAGGACGGCTGGACCCATGTCTGTAATCCCAGGATTTAGGAGGTAGAGGCAGGCGGATCTCTGAGGTTTCTAGACCAGCCCAATCTTTCTTTAAAACAAAAGAAAAAAAAAAAAACAAACAAAAAAAAAAAAAACAAAAAGACAAGTCTGCGGCTCCGGGAGGCGTGACTTAGCACGGCAGAGCTATAATTTAGTTCTTCTGTTTGGGGGGGAAAAAGCCACTCTGATTTCCAATGTTAACTTTGCCAGCGAACTAGCTTGGATGACTTCCCAGGCGGGGCAGGGCAGGGGCAGTGACTGGCGCCCAGGCCTATCCTAGCACTAGGTCCAAGCGCCTTCGCCACTTCCTCTTCCTGGGATATCTCAGATCCCACATCCCTGCCTCGCCAGGACGGACCCCTACCTGAGCTGTGATCTCCACTTCGTACTTACAGGGACGTTTCCCCACTTTGTTCGCCAAAAGCCCGGGGTCGTCCTGCCTCTGGGAATCCTAAGCGGCTGCCAGCGTCTCTTGTCCTCGCTCCCTAGTGACGGTTGCCAACCAAGCTCCGTCTCTATGACAACAGCTACTCGAGCCAGGTCTAAGAGGAAGAGCGAGCGCGGGAGAAAGAGAAACAGGGGAGAGAGAGGAGAGTCCGGCTGGTAGGCTAGCGACTCACCCTCTAGCTTTCTCCTTAGCAAGAGCTGTCCCCAACACTGGCAATTCTGACTTTCCTAAAGTTGGACAAGATGAAACAAAGTAGGGTTTGCAGTTACTTTCCCCAGGTTGGGGCACCAGGCTGGTAGAAAGGGGGGCATGCTCATTAAACTCAAGGGGGAAAAGCGACCCTGCAGCGTCAGGAAGCCATTCCTGAGCTCATAAAAGCAGTGTAATTAATCAAAAAGCTAGAGGATGGGCCAGGTGTGAAGTCACACACCTGCGAACCCAGAACCAGGGAGAGGAAGACCAAAGGGTTCAAAATAAGCCTGGGCTACCTAAGACTTTAGGGGGGGGGGGGGGGGGGGGGGAGGGGGGCCGGGAGATACGGGACTTTTCAGTGGAGGTGCCTGCAAGCTGCAGTGCGTCTTTCACTGACGTCGCCGGAGACTCCTTTAAGTAACCCCAGAAGGCTCACTGCTCACCAGGCTGATTTGGGTGGATTGTTCCTTTGCTGTCTGGAAGCTGAACAGATGTTTCATGCCTCTCCAGGAATGCACACAAGAATCGGTATGAAGCACTGAATAAAACTCTCTGAGCACCACATCCAATTCCCTGGCCTCACAGATGTTACACACAACTGCCCACTTCTCACCAGGGCGGTGTGCAGAGTCTGGCTCCCTGGGATTGAAGTTCTGTGACGTGCATGATCCTGCTGTCATCAGGAAGTGTTTCTACAAACCCAGCTTGGTTAAATCCATTAGGGTCACTCTGGCCGAGGCCATTCACGCAAGAGCCCAGAGGTGGCTGTCCTGTGCTATCCAAGGAGAGGCCTGCAGGGAACTGGCCAAAGGGCCTGATTCCAGACTCTGCTGCCACACTGGGAGACTATGAAATACCAACAACGACTCTCCCGACCAGTACACCACCATGCCCCAGTGCTGGTGATCAGATGTGTATTTCAAAACAGATGAACTGAATGGTGCAAGCTGTGTTCATTATAGTGCGGGACTTAAAATGAGGCCGGGGAATATCTGGAATTATAACCTACAATTTCAGCAGCAAACACAGATAAACACAGCGAGTCTGGTTACACGGGAAGAGTACATGAGGCTGTCTGTCTGAAGCAGTTTGGGGAGGCCTTCAAGTTGAGTGTGAGAACTCAAGGCAGGGAGCACAGGACAGTAATGACTGCCATCAGAGAAGGCTGGTATCTGCCTCTAGACCCAGTAAATCCACTCCAAGGACAAAAGCTTCCCCGCAGAAAGGGCCAGACTTTCATTAACAAAAACTGGTGGCAACTGGGGAAATAACCAGCGCACATGGAGAAAGGAGGAAAGAGAGCCAGCAGGAATCACCCATACCAATTTTACAATCTCAAAAGACAGAAAACAAAAGGAAGCAGCATTCACAAATGTGTTTCCATCAGCAACCTCAAGCCGCTGACCCCAGGGCATGGTCAGAAGGCTCAACTACAGAAGCCGAATCAGGCACCATCTGCAGGGTCTTTTTATTACAGAAGGGAAGCTTGCTGCTTTCCAGTATTGAAGAGGAAACTGACATCACACTGGGTAATCTGTGAGGCCTCCTGACCATCGCTAATCCTTTGTTCTCAGGCAGGGTTTCTCTGTGTAGCTCTGGCTGTCCTGAAACTAGCTCTGTAGACCAGGCTGGCCCCAAACTCACAGAGATCCGCCTGCCTCTGCCTGCCAAGTGCTGGGATTAAAGGTTTGTGCCACCACACAGTCTTTGCTGATGTCATATCGAAGCTATGGTGGGTACACAGACCCAGCTTCGGAGGATGCGTCAAACTGTAGCATCTTCTATACCCACAGATTTTTGGCTTCAAAGCAGAGAGGTACCATCAGCTGCCGACTTCAGAGGCTGGAGGGTAAGCAGGCCCACAGTGGAATGCTTGCCTAGAGTATGAAGTCCAAGTTTTCAGTTGCCAGCACAAGAGTCAACTTGACGTCAGCCGGAAACTAGTGTGCTTTGCCCAACTTTCTTTCCAGTGCCTGAGCTGGGTTGGAGGCTCGTAAGGAATCCAGGTGGTGGGATGGTACAAGGGCCACAACTACCACTACAAAACTGGGTTTATTTGAAAAGAGGAAATGTATACAAGGAGCCAAGTTTGGTGACATGCACTGTAAGCCCAGGACGATCCCAAGTTTAAGGCCAGGATGGAATACACTGAGCTCCAAGCCAGTCTGACCTCATGAGACCCTGTCTCTAAGCCCCAACCCACCAAAAGAGAAAAGGCCTGGGCAGAGGGTGATGTCGCACTTGGAAACTGGAGAGAAAGGACCCGAAGTTCAAGATCATCCTCAACTATACAGCAAATCTGAGACTGACTGGGCTTTAAAAAAAAGGGAAGCACCCAAGTCCCTGTGACTGTTAGAGATGTGGTCTCTGAAAGGTTGACCAAGCTCCTCCAGTGAAAACCCCAGTCATGAGGAGAGGGCAGCAGGAATTGCACTCAACAGGTTATTTATTTAGAAGGGGGGGATCCACGAAGCTGGGAAGATCTGGGAGGAGCTGGAGGGGGGAGCAAATATGATAGAAATATACTATAGACATGTTTGAAATTCTCAAAAATAAGTATATATAAAGTATATATATGTATGATACATACTCCTCAAAGGCTACCTAGCATGGCAGTGAATGCCCCCAATCTCATCACTCATGAGGAAGAGGCAGGAGGATCTCTGTCAGCTCAAGGCCAGACTCGTCTACACAGTGAGTTCCAGGATAGCTTAGTTACTCAGAGACCCTGTCTCAAAAAAAGAAATGAGGCCATCAGATCATTATCTGCCAGTCATTCCCATTCACTGGCTCATAATCTAGAGAATTCCCAGAAAGGGCTATGGCCTAATTTGCTCAAGACGTGGCTAGGTAGAAATCATATTTTTAATAATCCCTCAATGCAAAGAAAGAGATTACACCAGGCAGCTGAAGCATCTCTTCCACCTTGATGACCATGCTTCACCCACTCTCTTCCAGGTCCTTACACTTCAGGGAACGAAGAGAATGAGGAAAGCCTCCCAGGCCCAGGAGCAGGACCCAACTGAAGAAGCTTTCCTGCAGGGCCCTGGGGACAGTCATCTCTGGAGAGGAATAATGTTGCAGCTGGAAGAGAAAACAGGAACACAATTCAAGCTTGATGGCTCCATCCTGGAAGACTGGCAGAGGGAGCACACCCTTGTGGGCTTTTCCTTAACACTCTTCTCTTTTTAAAAAGTTGTGTTATTTTTAACTTACTCATTATGTATATGAAAGAGTCTGAGTGTATGGCAGAACTTGCAGGAGTCAGCTCTCTCCTCTTACCTGGGGATACTAGGATCAAACTCAGGTCACAGGGTTTGACAGAACCTTTACCTGCTGAGCCATCTCACTGGCCACTTTTCTTTCTCTTAAAGACAATACCCAGGAAACGAGAGAACCAGAGACTCTTAGGTGACCCGAGGACTCACTGCCTCTTGCCTGCAGTGAAAGTATTTGTAAAAGTATTTACCCCCAGTTTCCACACTCAGTGGCCCTGTCAGCGCTCCCCCACCTTCTATCTGAGACCACTTCATCAGTACCACGGTGTGGAATGCAGGAAGTAGGCGCCTTACCCCAGCAGTCCTTTTCCTGCCCAGCGTGTTGGAATGAGTCTGAGCTGGTGTTTTTCCCCTCTTCGGATCACTGTCACATTCAGGGGTTTCTGAAAGGCAAATAAGGTCATTTCAGCCCCAATGTTTTTAGCACTCAAAACAGACTCAAGTAAAATGCCGAGATTCCACTTTCTGCTGACTATGAAATTGACAGAGCTTTGGGCCCTGAGCTGGACGGGTTCCTGACGCTGGCATTAAGGGCATGAAGAACTTCAAAATGGTGGAAGGCAAAAAGAGTAGGAAGCATTGTGACTTGAATGAGAACCGTGCCCCATAGGTGCAGGTATCTGAGCATTTGGTTCCTATTTTGGACCCTATTAGGACACAGCCCCAGATGCTGGCAGCTGACCCCAAACCTTTTCTCTCCAGCACCAGTGAAATCTCTAAGACAAACTCTGCCCATCTTGGAAAGGTACAGCAGCCCCCTAAGGCTACAGGAAAAGAAGGTAATTTTTGTGAAGGACTCCAACAGAGGCCTTGAGTGGCCTGGCACCAGGTCACCTCCCAGCCCACCTCCTCCCCTTCTCTGCATTCTCCTGGCTCTGAGCAACTACCAGCATCCTTTGGCTGCTTTGCTCCTCCTGCCTCCAAGGCCTGCGATCCAGCCAAAGGCTCTCCTCTCGCTGCCACTCCACCTGTTCAGTTTCTATACACACCAAGGGTAAGTCCTTGGGAACACTCACTTTCAACCCCAAACTAAATCAGGAAGCCACTGTTTTCCTCCAACCCTCCAGAGCTCCCTTCATAACACTTGTCAGGCATGAAACTATATGCCCCGAACTACTGACATATGTCTGCACCCTACAATAAGCTCTCAAAGCAAGGAGCCCCTTTGTTTTGTTCCCTGCTGGACCCCAGCCCCCTGGCCAAAAGTACCACACATGGGAGGTACTTAGGGAGGGAGAGACACAGGGCTGTAATTTTTACCTTAAATGTTTTTGCACTGTGGTTCTATGCATAAGATAAATGTGCATTATATTTATTACTGAGACATAATTTGCATATAAAAAAGAACATGGCTCAGTTGGTTTCCTGTACTCAGAGCCATCACCACTAACTGCAGAATGTTTGCATCATCCAAAAGACCATCAGCACCCAGTCTCCAGACTCATCCCTCCAGACCCAGCAACCACCAAGCAATTTCCTTTCTATCTTTCTGGATCTGCTTTTTAGATAATTTTATTAAAGGCATGTGCCACTGTGCCTGGCTATATTATGTTTTCAATATCCATATTGCAATGGAGAATTTACTGCATTCCTATGAAATAAATATGCATTGTTTTATAATAAAAGCTATGTGCATATATATGTATATTTAAATATATATATGAATATATATAATATATACAAGCATAGAAAGAAAGAAAGAAAGAAAGAAAGAAAGAAAGAAAGAAAGAAAGA